GAACTCACAGCCGGCACCTTTAAGGAAGAGGTGGCACTCCCCCTCCGTGGAGAAACCGTGGCACATGCAGTCGGTACCTTCCAACGCACCCGTGTAGAGCTTGAACCGCTCAAAAAAGAAGTGTTGAGCGGTGAGGTCGCCCCCGCAACGCACGACAATGTAAACTGTAAACCCTACTACGAACAGCCTAAGCAGGAGCAGTGCCTGTTCGAAGACCAGCCTCCCAAGCTGGAGAGCCCGAGCAGGGCCGTCGGCTGCATGCAAGGAAAAGGAGGTCGCTCTAGGGAGAGGATCACCTGGGCGAGGGAAAAAAGAAGGATCGGCAGGAGCAGCAGAAGAAACACGGTGATGGGCAGAAGTCGAGGAGGAAGGCCGAATGGGGGAAGCCAAGACCAGGCCGAAGCGTCTGGAGTCTGGAGGGTATCGGAAGGCCCGCAAGGCTGGCAGCAACGACCTCGCACTCACGACCGGAATCTTCCTCAAGTTGCTGGAGGGCAGACAGTATGAATAGGCTCGCAACCTCAGGCAGGAAGGTCACGAGGGCGAGGACGAGGGAGCGGAGGGCTCCTGAACAAGCACAGCCTGGGCACCAGGCGACAGAAGGACATCCCGGAAAAAGGAAAAGTAGAAGCAAGCCGGTGCAGGCCCCAAAGGCGAAAGTCAAACAGAGGAGACGTAAAGAGCCACTACAGTGTGCAGGCAGCCCAATCCCCGCCAGTTTGGGCTAGAGTCAGAGAAAAGACAAGAGCCGACCTAAGTCCCACCCTAGATCCACAACCCGGGGTAGACAACGTTTTCGCGCACCAAAACCCCGGAGTCAAGCACCAAAACCCCTGCTTCAAGCACCAACCTGCTTCAAGCACCAACAAGCCCTGGTTCCGCCACGACCCTAAGCTCCCCCCACCCTCACCCTTCCCTGCACGAAAGTTTCCCTGTCCTGCCTACCCGACCGCACCCTATCCCCCTCCCAACTCTACCCTACCCCACCCTAACCTAGCCTGCCCTTCACCACCCTACCTTTCCACACCCTCCGACCACCCTTACCTCCTGTGTGCCGCCTTTGACCCCATTCTGCTAACTGACCCTTACCCTCTGCCCTTGCTGCCCTGCCCCACCCTACCCTATAAACCCCTACCTACCTTGTCCAACCCGCCTAACCTACCCTAACCTACCCTACCCTACCCTACCACCGCAAGCAACTTCCCTACCCTACCCTCCGCTCCGCTACCCTACCACACCCTACCCTCCCCAAAATACTCTTCACTTAACCCTACCCCACCCTGACCTACCCTGCCCTGCAATCCTTTCCTGCCAAACCCTAAACCTTTTTTCCTGTCCGAACCTACCTTGACCCCATCCTGCCCTACGCTAACCTACCCTATTCCTCGCCTCACCCCCAACCCTTGCCTGCCAAACCCGAACCCCCTAGCCTACCCTAACCTACCCACCCTCCCTGCCCCAGCCAGCCCCGAACTCCCCTTCCCAACCCTGTCCCACCCTACTTAACCCACCCCATACCCTAACGACTCGTTCCTGCCTTCCCTCTGCCTGACCCAAAACACACTCTGTCGAAAACCAAACCCTGCCCTACCTACCCTACCCACCCACCCCTCACAACCCCACCCTAAACCACCCGCAAGCAACTACCCTACTCTTCACTTCACCCTACCCCACCCTGACCTACCCTGCCCTACCCTGCCCTACCCAACCCTTTCCTGCCAAACCCTGACCTTCACTATCCTGCCACCCTGACCTTTCTTGCCTGCCCGAACTTGACCCAACCCTGTCCTACCTACCCTACCCTACCGCTCTCTGCAGCAGCAGCCCCCTTGACCCCCTCCTTGCCAACTCAACCCCTGCAACTATCCACAACCCGGTTGCACATCACATTTCTCAGCTTTGCTTGTCAGCCTATCACATTGCAGGCCGAGACACTCGGAAGGGACAGTCGTGTGATGTTGGACACTGCTTCACCGGTGGGATGCCGCGCACGGCATACGTGATGCTTGACTCCTCTGCCTCTGCAGCAGATGCGCGCCAAGACAGAAGCTAATCCTTCCATCTACCTTCTCATGACCTGTCAGCTCACAGATTGTGCGGCAACGCTGCCGGAATGCAGAGGGTTCAGTTTCCCAACCGCAATGCCTCAGCCGTCGTGTCTCCTCCGCAGGTCTTGATTCTTGAACCTCGCCGACTTGGTGTTCGAGTACGATCTCGGTGCTCTACATACAAGACAAGTGCGTTGGGCGGAGTCACGCAGAAAACCAAACGAGAGCGTAGCAGCATGGAACAGCTACGCCTCAAGTCAGTTCCATTATTCGTTCTACGACTCTCCTCGAAATCGGGAAGACTGAGAGCAACCGGGCATATTGTAGTTCCGGATTGTTTCCTGTAGGAGAGCTGTTGCAGCGACTAGCCCTGCCACAACAGCCATCACAACTTCAATTGCATCATCACCACCACTGACGCCGCTGCCGCCGCCACCACCACCACCACCACCACCCCACCACCAACTGCAACAACTAGAACGACAACAACCGTAACATGAAGGAGAGATATGAACATGCTAGTGGCTCTAGCCATTTCCGCCGAGAACCTCGCAAAATAGAATCCGGGGTTCGACGTGAAGTGTCGACTTGACCTCTTGCAACTCAGCCTGTGAACCATGGGCAGAAGCCAACGTTGTGTTCGCTTTCGATCTTCCACCCCATTGCTGAAACCAACAAACCAGCACACTCAAGCAGACATTGGCGATTCCGTCACTGACGACACGGCGATTTTCTGATGCAAGCAGGCCTCGCACGCAGTCGGAGTGTGGTGCCGTGTGGTCGATACCGAGGCAACCCCTAGATATGCTGTCCAGTTGCGTGGCAACAGCAGCGGCAGCAGCAGTAGCAGTGGCAACAGGAGGCACAGCAGAGATTCCACCATCGACATTATTCACACACCAGCGCCAACCAATGCTCGTAGCCAGTAGAAGCACGACTGCTACAGCTGTTTCCACACAAGGCATGCCATCCTTCGAGCATGCACACATGGCTGAAAATCTGCGGTGACATAGTCTAGCACAATGCTCTCGGATGGTCGAGAAGCGCTGCAGTAGAGCCACATCTTCAGAGACTGACTGACGAGCGTCCTGCGTTTCAGGTCAAGGCTAGGCAACGATTCACCACTCTCGTTGCTACAGTGCTGCGTTTTTGGCTTTCATCAAGGTACTGTCGCGTTGTCAGCGCTTGCACAGTGGATGCGATGCTACGGGGGCTAGTACCCTGGCCTCTCCACCAACGGGCACAGTCACAGACAGAAAGACAAGGCTTCAGGGGGACAAAATGCTGATGTCTCCGAACTGCGGCGTACGGTTTCCTGTCCCAGTTGTTGCTTCATGGAACGGGCTCGTCGGCTCGGGGCCTTCACAGAGCAGGAGTCTCTCGCGGGAAACCTCTAAATCTTGCACATGCAGCCCAGTTTTACTCGGGCCAAGGCACAACTTGACAGGTGGCCGTATTTACGTATTTACGACGAGACATGTCATTCAGCGGAGCCAGAGCAAAATGCAGAGACTTAAGATAGACCGGCACATGTTGTGAGGCAGTCACATGGGCAAGACTGAAAGAGTGGCAAGTGGCGTGGGCTAGCAGCTACATTCACTCTGAAAGAACTGTTAATGTACGGGGGCATGTGGTATGCGAGAGTCAACTCCGAGGCAAAGTCAAACAGGCCCATCCTGGGCTTCAGGAGCAACCAGTCCCTGCCATACAGCAGCAGTGCCGCCTCAAACAGCCAACGAGGACGGTTCAGTATGCAGAGAGGCCATGCTCCGAAAATGTCTCTGGACTTCGACAAAACTACATGGCTTCGCAATACTCACCATGCCACCATCCGATGCAACCAATGCAAACGAAGCAGCCGATCATAGCCGCAGCATGCAAGGCGATGAGACAGCTGCACAGCGCCATTGCAGCTGCGGCAAAAGTAGAAATGGGTACAGTCCGTGGCTGACGAGCCGATCAATCATGGGCAAAAAGCAGCAACTCGTGGTGTTGCTGCATATGGGCTTACACAATCAGGCACAAATGGCCCGTTGTTGGGCATTGGGACCCTTGCCTGTCGTCTCCTCGAAGTCAAGCCTCGTGCAAAGAGGCATTTGCGGGGTTTTTCGTGAATTCTGGGATGCCCATGCAGGAGCCTCGGAACAAATGCTGGAATCGCAAGCCCGGAACCCTCCCGACAAAGACAAGCAAAAAGCCACATCGTGCAGCACCAAGCCGAAGCTCGGCAGCCGTAAGGTATGACTTAGCCGATGCACGAGGCTTTGTGAACCGCGGCAACTAGCCTGGACTTGCAGGCTGTGCCCGGAGGCCACACAACAGGTAAGGCTGAGCACTCGGCATCTTGGTTCGCAAGATTGTCCGGCATAGAAACAATGCCACCTGACTAAGCATAGGGTGCATGCGGATGTCAGAGTCAAAGAGTTTGCTACACTTGATGCCCAAAGAACTGCCTTTGCTTCTGTTAATCACTGTTCATGCGTTTGCGAGCTGTTCATGCGTTTGCGGGTGAGCAGCCTCAGGATCAGAAAAAATCCGACTGCAGAAAATTAAGCCGTGAATCTAGTGGCAGACGGCACACGGAGCGGCAAGGAAGGACACCGACACGGTCGTAAAAAGCCAGAACCCGCCTCCTGCAGTCGTCTGCCATTGCTGCTAGGCTGAAAAGACCGTCACAAAACTCGCGCAAAGCACTTACGCGAAGCGTAAGGCATGTGCCAATAATAGCTGCGCACAACAGTCGAAGCGCACAACTTTTCGGATCTTCATTGGAAGGGCCGCAAGATCGAAACAAGCACATGCAGCTGTAAGGGCTCAGGATGCGCCATGGAAAGTTTCAAGCATGGATTTCTCAAAGCGCCGCAAAGCATTTGTCTCTGCAAGTTGAGTTTACGTCTTCAAAACCTCTGCGCGCTGACACAGCTGGCACTGTTGGCCGCCTTGGTCCAGAGA